GTTTTAGATGCTTATTAGATACAGAAATGGAAAGATTAGTAGGCAAGTGGATAGATCAGGCTGGTGTTTAGAACAGAGGTTTAGACTGGACTTATAAGTGTGGGGTCAACAGCATACAGCTGTGGTTTGAAGTCATGTGTCCACGTAAGACCACCAACCAGTTTGAGTTGATGGAAAAAAAAACAAGACATCTAAAGGCCAAGACCTGGGACTCTCCCACAATTAGAGATCTGGGAGGCAGAAAGGGGGCTTAGTGTAACAGACATTCAAGTAAGAAGAAACCAAAAAGGGTATATTAACATGCTGGGAGCCAAGGGCAAACAGCTTTTCAAGGAGGGGAGCATGACTGCTTCATTTGATTGTTTTTTTCAGCTTTACTGAGATACATCTGACAAGTAAAGTTGTAATATATATAAAGCGTACAGTGTGATGATTTGAGAGACACACACACATACACACATTGTGAAAAGGACTCCAACAATCAAGCTAATTAACACATCCACCACCTTACATCTTTTAGTTGTTTCTGTTTGTTTTGGTGAGAGCACTGAAGTTCTACTCCATTAGCAACTGTGGACTATGCAATACAGCATTATTAACTACAGTCACTGTGCTGTACATTAGATCCTCACACCTTATTCATCTTACGACTGGAAGTTTGTACCCTTTTACCAGCCTCTCCTCCTTTCTCCCACCCCCCAGCCCCTGATAACCACCATCCTACTCTTCGTTTCTATGAGTCCAACTTAAAAAAAAAATCCACATATAAGTGATACCATGCAGAATCTGTCTTTCTCTGCCTGGCTTATCTCATTTACCATAATTCCCTCAAGGTATTTCTTCTTTTTAAAGACTGAAAGTATTCCATTGTATGTATGCCACATTTTCTTTATCCATTCATCTCTCGATGGACACTTAGGTTTTTCTGTATCTTGGCTACTGTGAAAAAATGCTGTAATGAACATGAAACTAAAGCTATCTCTTTGAGATAAATATTTCTTTTTCTTTATATATATAACCAGAAGTGAGAATGCTGGATCATATGATAGTTAATTTTATTTTTAATTTCTTGAGGAACTGCCATACTGTATTCCATAGTCTCTACACCAATTTACATTCCCACCATCAGGGTTCAAGGGTTCCCTTTTCTCCACATCCTGGCCAGTGTTTGTTATTTCTTGCCTGTTACATATTCGGTCTATTAATTTTCTACAAAGGCATCAAAAATATGCAAAGAAAAAAGGAAAATCTCATAAACAGTGTTGGGAAAACTGGATTTCCACCTGCACAGGAATGAAAGGTGGCCCTGATGTCAGGCCGGCATTCCCAAACATTAGATGGCAAAAATAAAACTCAGTGTGTCCCAAGTGGACCCTGCTGACTGCTGGGTAGGAGACCCCAGCAATAGACAGTTCTGCATGGATCATGCTGGTGGCCGCCAGGCTGCAGTCAGGAGGAGGCAGCACCTCGGTACTCAAGCCCGGGTCTGCGCGGTTAAGAGGTTCCCCGCAGGTCTCCCCAGAGAGCTCACAACTCTGCCCTGAAGACAACGGGCGGCTCGGAGGCCATGCACGTCCGCGAGAGGACGGCACCCAGGCTGCGGACCAAAGAGGTGTCAGTGCCTCGTCCTCTATCCTTTTTCTCAGGACTCAACACAACAGTGAAGCCAGAATCTGGGGAGAAGGAGATCACAGAAAGATTATGCCGCATCTTCCCCAAGGCTGGGAGAGGGAGAGGCAGACCTATCACTTGGATCTGAGATGCAAGTCTGAGTTCTTGGATTTTAAGACCAGAAAGCGGACAGGAGATCACGATCTGGTGAAGGAGCAGGAAAGGGCAACTGGACAAGATGCGGCAGAAGGCGACGACCGAGAGGAAACACCAAACCCCCAAATGCAGACTCTTTTCCATTCTGGTTCCATGTAGGTCCCGCAGTCACATTCTGATTGAAAAGAAATACCCTTGCTCAAAATAACTTCCTTAACAGAGAGCAAGAAAATATGATAAAATCACTTTTTAAACTATTAAGAGGTTTTATACAAGTACGGAGAGGCTTAGCAGACAGAAGTGTTCAGGAAATACTGTCCAACAGGAATGTCT